CACACCCGACAGTGATTTGTGTTATTTATGTTTTTTGTTTGCCTCGAGGGGGGTATGGAAAGTGTGGTGGGTCTACTGAATTGTCAATAGAAGCTGTTAGTGTCTAGAAGTTTTCCGACGAATATCCGGTGTTGCAATGCAGCCACTGCAATTACAATCCAGTTCGGCTATAAGGGTTATTTGTGCAATTGATCTGATCGGTAAACACAAGTTTAACAAGCCTTGTGTACTTGCATCCTTATAATCGTTTGTTGATATGGGCTCCTTTTCAACGCGTGTATACACAAACAGACATTTTTATCGATCGAAAGGAAACCCTCCCGGATGCAGTGCCATTGTCCGCGGTCCATGCCACTGAGCAATCCGTCGAGAGAGGATCTCCGACCCTCCGGCACACCGGTTTGATCAAATCACTGATTACTAACTAGCGAATTATACTGTGTGCAATCGGAGTATACACTCGCCGTAACAGTGCGGTGTCCAGCCTCAGCCCTGTAACCGTTAGCTGCCGCCAAGGAAAGGTCGGCAGCTGATTGGCGCTTCACATGTGTTCTCCGGCCTGCCCGTCTGAAATTGCCAACATAGATCGACGCATTGGAGATGTAGTTTGTTTACAGAAATCAACGGAAAAATGTCGTGCATACACAAAGGTCGTTAATTAAAGTGAATCCAACTAGGCTGAATATACCGACTCCGTTACTACTTCTCGCCCTCTGCCTGCGTTTATGCTTGGTCCCATTTGTTTGCAGAATATGCTTTTTGTTACCTGAAGGCCCGACTACATACCTGGTGTCAGAGTAAGGCGAGGAAGCAACATGGTACCAACCCAAACTATGATTTATTTGAACTGCACCGCAATACAACTGCCTGCCTTCGCTGAACATGGATGAACGCAGCGTTGTACCATCAACTGACGTTTAAAATTTGGAATGCTGCAAAAGTGGTGATGTATTTCGTGCCCTTAATCGCCGTCAGCGGACCACCAAAGGGATGTTTCTTATCTGCCTGGTCATGTTTCGACACGCAGCCTGGAGATGCATCTCGTCCGCGTGCCTCAGAGACATTGTGTTACGACAAGAGCGAAGATGCCAACAAGCAGGAGACAGTTCTTGAGAAGTTCAGTGAAAACTGCAAAGGCCAAACAAACGAGACATTTCAACGCTACCCTCTTGTTCGGCGGAACAGGCAGGCCAGGTGATGAACCGTTGACACGTACGTCACTGAGCTAAAGATTTTGGCCCGTCCTGCAGTTTTCTGAGAAATGCCATGGGCGACATTCTCATACGGGACCGCATTTGTATCTTGGTGATCACATGACGATGGTTTGACGAAGCGACTATTACGAAAGCGCAACCTATCTCTGCGCAGGCAATGTATCGACAGTCTGTAACAGTGAGTCCCTCCACTGCCTATCAGTGTCCAGCAGATGAACAATCACAGAGTGATTCAGAGTTGTGCCCGTTTCCAGAGTGCAAAACTACGAGAGCCACGACCGCGCGACAGGAGCCCTGCAACATCTGTGCAACACGACATCCGAGTAACCGCGGAACAGTGTCCGGCGTTGGGCCGCATTTGTGTCAAATGTGGAAAGCGCATATCACTTCGCCCGCTGCTGTCAGTCGAACGATGTCAGTGCACTCGTTCCAGACAAATCAACAGAAGACACCGAACAATCGTAGTTGTACGGTCTCGGAAAGCGTCGACAGAAGTGTGTCTAATGCAAGTCTTCTGATCGAGGGACGGTCTGTGCGATTCCCGTTAGACCTCAGGCGCGACGATCCATATTTTTGGCCCAGAAAGCACTGCGCGCCTTGGCAAATTCAATCGGATCAAGATTATTTGCGCATGTGGAATGGTTTCTAGACTCAGCCCAAGGGCATCAGCGTACAATGAATGTGGTCAATCCCGAAGAGACGGTTGTTTCGCATCGTCGCAGTTCGTGATCGTGGATGAGGATCTCACGCCGATTTCTCGGCATTGATTCTGATTTATCTCTGGCTTTGTCATTTTTTAACCGTGATCGTTTGTGTACGTTGTCAGAGTGAAGCCGATGTTAGTGACCTGTAACCCACTGGTGTTAGTCCCGGTGGTTTAGTGGGATTGTGGTCAGTGACCGCACGACACCATGCGAAATAATCCTTTGAGTCACCTTCCCAATTTGCGTTACCCGGCTCTAGGATCGGTCCCCATTTGCGCTACGTGACCGATTTCCTAGTGCGTATTGACAAGCTGGTTTGTGCAGGGTGTTGTGTTGTGCACAGGTTGATGAGCCCCACAGACTGTGGTAAGCCATGTCGCAGAGTCATTATACGAAGACAAATGGCGAACTACGCTTCAATGTACATGTCCCTAAGCCACAGGAATGAGCCTTGCGTAGCCGCACAATATGCGCTTACCGGACGTTAGAAGATGTTGTTCTACCACGTAATCGACATAGAATGCCAAGATTTTCACGAAAGTTAGATCTTATCTTCCGCATTTTCTGGCAACGTTGTTACCGTCGTCAGACGACTAATCGATGTTCCCCTCACCACAATTGACTACACCGTTCGGAACGTATAATCGATGTGCTGCGAATACCGTTTTGGCCTGAATGGTGTCTAGCGACATATCTCCAAAAGCGTTTGGTGATTGCAAGCAATAGTACCGATTTAGCTGGCGTAACCTCTGGTGGCAGAATGACGTTTAATGATTTAACGGTTCTACCGAAGAAAGAGCATGGACCCACTAAAGCTACAAACAAAACCGGTTCCTGAGGAGTTTGTCGTGCAAAAGGAACCTCAAGCGAGAGCGGCGGGGGGGGGGGTGGGGGGGGGGGGGGGGGGGGGGGGGGGGGGGGGGGGGGGGGTGGGGGGGGGGGGGGGGGGGGGGGGGGGGGGGGCGAGATAAGGGGGGGGGGGGAGAGTGGGGGGGGGGTGGAGGGGGGGAGGGGGGGTGGCTGGGGTCGGTGCACACTGATGGTAGTATGTGACAATTATTCACAAGGTGGCCTTGTATTAGACATCCGACGGACTCAGGTTTTGTGTGACGACTCAAAGAGGAAGTATTAGGGGCGTATGTTGGAGCGATACAAGTTGATTTGCCAGGAACACCCTACGCTGAAGATAGCGGCTTTTCCATGGTTACGCCTACACGTGATATTGTTATCCTACTAAAACTATCGGGGTCTACACTTTGCACACGGCAAACCTCTACCCGCGTACATATTAGTGCACATATTCAAATACTAGTAATGCAGTGGAGTCCTGAAGGGTAACGGTCACTGGAGCAGAATCCCCCCAAAACGTCGCCAACCTGGAAAAACCCCTATGCTCATCGAGCGGACCGGACACACTCTTAGCGTAACCGCATCAAATCCGATTTACCTCCCCAAGCAATATCCTGGACCTCTAAAGTTCGGACCCGGCGACCATCCCGATCTTTTATCCCTACCCCTGTTTACATCTGCGCACCCACCATAATGCTGTACAGGAGAATTTTCACAGAAGCACGCTCCGTTGAATATCGTATGCTGGATTACAAGGTATGCATCCCGGACCGCCCACGTATCGGTGTACTTAATACCCGTTCAGTCTCTGCCCTGTATTTACCGCAAAGAAAGAAAGGCCGAGACACTCGGTAAGGGTCACGCAGTATTCGTCGGCCACACTTGTCGCTTCTTTGTCATAGGACTCTTGTCCATGGACGCGATTACCCACGACATTCAACACCTCAAAAGGAAACGATCCGACGCCCCCATCAAGCATCTGAAACGTGACACCCTGATACCGAAACGCGTCTCCTCAACGGTCTGCCGTCAGTTTGCACGCCGGTCTCGCCCCTCGCCCACTGTACACCCTTCCCTTCTCCTATCATGCCGGCGACAGCTTCGATGCCGGCCTCCAAAATGTAATTGCACAAATTGGGACCTTTGTAGTCAATACCCCCAGGCCCAACGTGCGACTATGGGATGAGATATCATTGAATTTGAGCGCGGACGGGCAATAAGTATGTTAGATATAAGAGATGGGGGGGTGATACTCCCTGTTTTCAAGTAGAGCAACAAACTTCCGAGTTGGCCATGTACTGAAACCTCAAAACTAGGCAGTCCTCATCTGCAATCCAAGAAATTTCTCTAGTAGCTCGAGGAAAAATCCACAGTCTGGATGCCCGTTGCATCACTACATTATAAGTCCCTGAACCCACTCCCACATTGTCCTAACGATAACACTTCGGCTCTGACAGCCCAGACACCAATTTGCAAGCTAATTTAGACTGTCCAGGTGTATAACACGTTTCTCATTTGTGGTGCCATAACAACACCCCATCCGACCTTAGTCTCTCAAACCGTCCGGCCGAGGGGATCGCCCGCGGTTGTCTCTATTCCTTGTAGTACTTATACGTGAACAATTTTTCTTGTGACGAACTCACACCTTTCAGCTTTTTAGCGGTGGGTGGCTTTATATTGTTTATCACGGCACGCAACGTCCCCCTCATCTCCCGTTCAACTACACTATGGGACATATAAAGTTGCTCTTTCAGTTCTCACGAAAGGCTCCACCATCAAGGTCGTTTAGTCCTCTGACCATGCTCTCACCTGGGTGCACGACAGAGTCGACCCACTCTAACCGAGGAGACGATGCAAAGCAGTGTGTTTTAGAGAACATCTGTATTTCTTAGTAAATGACGAGGAATTTAGACAGGTGAGTCGGCGTTATCATATGGAAGGATCATTGGGGGTGTCTAAGCCTTTGAGGCGTGGCCGTTCACGGGGGTTTTGCTTAACGACATATCTGGGCAAAATGAAGGAACCAATGAATGCTGCATGATGATCTCGCGGACCGGACGGAAACCGGTGGCCCACACAACAGGGTGACGCAAGTGCGCAGTATCCTGGCCAACCGGACACGGCATTACCCAATCTCACCCGAGATACTTACTCTGGAGACACTATGGGTGGGGGCTAGGAAAACCCAAAATAGCCCTCGGAAAAACACAGCACACCAGGACGACCGGACGGAGCCATGGCAGTAAAATAATAAACAAACTCAGATGTCAATTCGCTCGGCACGGGATACCGGAGGAGCTAGTCTGGGACAACGGTCCCCAGTTCAGCAGCAGGGCATTCCAGATTTTCGCAACCAAATGGGAATTCGCACATCGGCAAAACAGTCCCTATCACAGTCAATCAAATGGGAAGGCAGAGGCGGCAGTGAAGCAAGCCAAGCGACTATTAGCGAAGCCTAGATATACTCGGGAGGACCCATACCTCATGCTACTGGAAAGTCGCAACACTCCTTCAACGGATATCGGCCTGAGCCCAGTGCAGCGCCTATACAGTCGAAGGACCAGAACTGTGCTGCCTGCATCCGCAGTACTTCCGCGCCCTGTCACGCCACAACTTGAGAAAGTATAGAACAGTTTGAAAAGGGGAATGGCTACTCAGAGACGGTACCACGACAAAGGCGCACGGAAATTACCTGAGCTGACAGTGGGGGAAGAAGTATGGGTTGAACCAATTCCCGATGAGCAGTATCGGTGGAGAAAAGGAGTCGTGGTTGCGAAAGACGGTGAAAGATCATACGAAGTAAATGTTGGAGGGAAGAAGCTGAGAAGAAACGGAGTACAGCTGAGGAGATGTCTGAGGCTACAGCGTGAATCAGGGAGAGAGCGTTATACTGCGCGCGGCCATGAGGCGACATCGGCAGATCCAACGAAGAGGACGCGGAGTGGTAAAGTTTATGGATTATTTAGCAAAGCACAGCAGCAAGAACATGAAAAAGGGAGGATGCGATGGAAGTATACACTTGAAGGAACGTGCGGTGCCAGCCCAGCAAGGAAGACGTTAGGCTGCCGCAAGGAAAAGCGGCAGCTGATAGGACGTTTACACGTTTCTCACATGCACGCTGATTGGCCAACAGTTAGACGCATTGGAGTGAGTTTGTTTGACTGAATCCAAGGAAAAATGTCGTACATTCACAAAGGTCGTTATTTATGGATCCAACTAGCTGTATATACCGATAAGTTTCACTCGCCCTCTGCCTGCGTTTTCGCCTGGTCCTTTTGTTTGCAGAATATGCGTTTTGTACCTGAAGGACCGACTTTTACATTCTGTACCTATCTTTGTTAGCGAGATCCCCTGCACGTTCTTTCCACGGGATTTCGGGTGGTATGCGCACTCCACTTGAGTCGTTGCGGAGATGATTCGCAGACAGCAGAACGGCCTCAGTCTCTTCTGCTGAGTTTAGTGTTGCCCGAAGTAACCGGGGTTCGCCGTAGTGCAACGCGTTTGGGTGGCGCGAGCTTCTTGTTAATGTCGTGGGATTAGTATGGACTCCGATCGACGTACAGATGGAACCCCACTGATTTCGATCGTCCGTCAACTTACCCTTAATTGTATTGGATTTGGATTCGGGGACATTAGTGCTTATAATGTTTAGGACAACATGGTTGCGCCTGGTGGCTACTGGTTTTGGATTTGGAGGCTTATTATCTGGTGTTTTTGTTGAATTTGTGAACGGCCTTGGTGTCTGCCATTCGTACTGCAGCAGTTTTGTTTTCTCTAGTTCAGGTACAAAGGATACCGGTGCTCTTTCCGGTATTTGCTTGGTGGCAACCGATGCGTACGTTGTCGAGTTGTTCACTATTGCTGGTTGACTGTAGCTTACAGTCCCGAGTGTAGTGAACAGACTACTAGGTGCAGCACACAGTACAGAAGTTGAGGCAGGTTCGCTGCAGGCACTGATTTTACTTATAGGAGGGAGAGAGAATGGAGTTGATACTGCTGGAGGCTGAGTCGTTGGGGTTCGGTTGGGACGCCTGGTTCGCTTCTTCGGCCTGACTAGTGAGTTCGGGGTGTTATTTTCACTCACAAGTGCAGGTCCGTTTCCTCCCATGGGTTTAATTCTGGCACTCACCAGTTGCTCGACCGCATCGGTTAGTCTTTCACACCTCTTTAGCAGCACAGATAGACAGCTAACAAATGGAATAGACTTGCATACTTGGCAGAACCAAACCGCCTCTGCGGTGTTTGCTTCCGTCGACCTCTTCCCAAGGCAGGTAACGTGATAGGTTTTCAAGCACATGGTACACACCAGACCACGTTTTACCACTTTGGCACATGAATCGCACTTGCTTTTCATACGAGACATGTTCTCAGTAGGATTAGGAAGTGGATGGAGATACTGACGCACCGCTGCGTGGCGATCGGCGCTGGTTTGAGGCCAGCAGGTCCAGGCGATGTGCATGCTATCGATCCAGACGGGTAGACAGCGATGCGAGATAAAGCGACTGAGGCAAAGCAAGGTGACTTGGAAAATGCTGTCCGGTGACGACAGTGGCAGTTCCAAATGCAGATCAGATTGACGACTATCGCTTTGTAGAGCGACTTGCAGGAATGGTAGTAAGCTGATCGGGTGACTCTCAAAAAGATCTTTAAAATAAGACCACAAGAGTTCTTATGCGACGAGAGGAAAAATAAAACATCCGATAAGCTTCAAATACCGTTGACTACGAAGTTCGAAGAGCACAGTTTGTTGGTGATCCGTGAATGATAGATCCAATAGATGAACAGTGGTAGGAGGAGCTCGCGGAGCCAAATCGTATGATGGCACGTAGGTCTCTGTGAGAATAAATCCAAAGATCTGGAGGCGAATAACGCAGGAGGACGGTTTTTTAGCGACCGCACTGTCGAAGAATTGTACAGGTGAGTAAAAGTTTCATGGTAATGGAGATTGGCTTCTTTGTTTTGGTATACTAGTCCGGGTTGTGCAGTCTTCGTGTCCACGTATCCTCACCGGACTTGTCATATGAGTGGTAAGTGCAGATGATAATTGGGGCTTAATTTGTCCAACCCAAGCGAAATGTCATTTCTCAGTCTAACGCATGATCCTTCCGAAATTCCCAATAAATAATTCAAACCACGAGTAGAATTTCAAATGTGATAAGGGCGAACCCAAACCAAGTAAAGGCGTACTTTGTCCACAAAAGAGGAAAATAATTGCTTCAATGTTGTGTTATCATGCACCAAAAAATTGGTTGGCAATCCTAATCCTTCTCCTGTCTAGGTCTG